CCCCAAAACCCCAAAACCCCAAAACCCCATTTAGCCTATGTCAACAATGAATGAGGATAGAATTGGCTAAACAATTTAATTGGCATATAATTATTTTAAGCGTTAAATTAGTGGATTAGTATATAGATTAATTGTGAATGTATGAAGGTCATATTCATTAATCTGATTCATTATCATTGTCATTATTATATGAGTTTAATTCTGTACTGGTTTGTCTAAAGTAGATAATCAATAATTTTTTTCTAAGATAGATAGCCATTTTGAGTTGAGGCTCTTGTCAGTAGCATATTAGATTGTATCATTGATAACTTGATATGCCACATCTGCCTACCCAGAATGCTTGTCTCTCATAATTGAAATAAGTTTGTGAATTACATAGTAACCATAAATATTCTTGATAAGACTCTTCATCACCTCTATAGTGCAGAGTCTTTTCATGTATCTTTCTACAGTCACATATTGAGCTTTTTCTAGAATCTTTTCAATCACATTAGAAGAGAATTTCTAAACTGACAATTGCATTAGATGATCTTCTAGCTTATAAAAGATTCCCTCACATGGCCTGACTTCCCATTTCTATATAATCAATAAAAAATCAAGTAAAACTATGAGTATCTTACATCCAATGCTTCTTGAACAGCATAGTTTCCGTATGGATTTTAAACAAGTTTAACAGCATTGTCTGTTAAGATTTGCCCGATTGCCGCGATTCTTTGTGGTGATTGTATCTTATTTATAAGCTTCTTTATCACACAGAGACCATTCTAGTCTAGTGCTAGGTCTACAAATCTTGCCATGACTTGATTGTAGATGAAGCCTATCCTATCCTCTTTAAAGCAAATCATAACTTTTTGAATCACATGATTTGCATTTTAATCAAAACACATTGGGATAACATTGTCTCTCAACCCATCTTCTATTTCTTATTCTTCCTCTGGCATGCTTATCATATCTATCAAGCATTACATTGAATGAGTTCCCTTCTTATCACAAGATATTTTGAGAAAATCTGGCCGAAGTTACTTGAGAATCATAAGACGTTGAGATGAGCTGGAACTAGTCATCAATTTCTGGCAAAAATAGTTGCCATATTGATCAGACATTAACTCGTGCAAATCTCTGACAACCTCTTCTATTACAAATCCTACTAATTCTGGTGCAGCCTTTTCCAGATATCTCTGCAGTTATTTTGATCCATATTACTGTCTAGCCATATTGGCAACGTTTCCCCTTAACTCGTTCATAAGGGTTAAGGTATCCTCACTTGGATCATTTCCCTTTTTACCAGTGCTTGAGCCTTTGCCAGTGGATCCACTTGAGCCTGCCTAAGATACTGCAGAATTTCTAGACTTCTTAGATCCTGAACTTGAGTGAGTTCCTTTTCTTTTCTTTGTTGTTTTAGAAGGTCTCGGAATTAGTAGTTAATTTGAAGGTTCTTCAGTGTCTTATCGAGCTAGATAAGAGGATGAGTTACTAGAAAAATCTCCGATAGTCCCATTGGTGCCATGAGAATTTTCATTAGATCCACCTGAGGCCTCAAAACTTTTCCCACCAGCAGTATATCTTTTGAAGTAGTCCCGGAAAACTTAGTTTCCTGGTTTTTTCTCCTGCACATTTTGTGTCATTATCCTTCTCATTTCCACTTCATCTTCAAAAGGATTTGCAAGAGCCATCACTTGAATACCAAGGTTAGGTCTTTCACTTTTTCTCTAAGCATTCTTTGGATTGTACATAAGATTACGTGATGACCTTGGGTAAGAAGAGTTTACATTGTTCTCATCGAATTTATCTTCTTCAACAAAGTGATCATAATTACTTGTGGATTCAGAACTTTTTCCAGAACCAATCTTGGAATCTTTTTGACTCAGGTGTGATATCTATAGTTTTTCTAAATCATTCTCAACATGCTAAGATGATTGACGGTTAATAACACTTTTAGAGCTTATCTTGATCTTTTTTGGACTTTTTTAGGCTAGCCCATTATTTAGATATTATATCATTAATGGATTCTATTGCAGGATCTACAATGTCTACTTTTTTAGTAACTCATATTCTTCAAAAGGAAGCTAGAAGCTAAGTTTTAAATTTCTTAGAATGTGAACGGTAAAATAAGATTGCATACCCATTGGGTGTTGCATCTAATAATTTGGAATAATATCTTAGTAGAAGGTATAGTTAAAATCTAAGTTTATTAGAGTGTTAGAAGGTTGTTAGTTTTTAATTATTTAGTTGAACTAGTCTAAGATCTTCTTTCTTATTCCAATGTTCACCTCAGAATTATTCAAGGCAAATAATTATGTGAAGTTCAAAGGTTCTTAAATAAAATTGGCTCTGTATATTTGAGTTACTTAGTTAATAGAGTTTAAGATATTCATATTATCAATGCCAGTATTTGAATAATTCAAAGCACTATTCAAGTTGTCTTAGAAAAATCTCCATTTAAAACTGACTAGACCAACACTCAGAGGGAGACTTGTGGAATTACATAAGAGTTTTTTGAATATCAAAGACTAAGATTATTAATTCAGTTAGAAGTCAGCTTTAATGTTTTCTAAAGAGAAAATTGAGATCATAGTAGTTGGGTGCAGTATTTAAAAATCAAATGATAGCATATCTGGACTCAAATCTATATCGAAAGGAGACACGCTTAGAATAGGACTATACTAAGGTTAAGCGGCGGATTGCTGGCTGAGGTTGTAACACTAAATATGAACAAAAGTATTATCCTGCACCTTAATGTACTTATGGTTAATTAATATAGGCTATGAGCATATGTTGCACAATGATTAGATTTACTCAGTTTAATTCCTATCTGAAGATCCACCTCCACCGTGGAATGGACTTGAACTAATATTTAACTCTGAGAAAACACCATGACTTCTGTCTGAATTCATATTAAAACTATCGTTTTTGTTAGGTATTGGAAGTCTTTCAATTACTTGATTAGTATTGGTGGAAGTGATCTATTTGATTTACTTTTATGTGGTTGTATTTTCGCTTATCTCATTCTCTAGGAAATCAGGCAAAAAATAGCCATGATTTTCATCTGCAGAGTCATCCTCCAACTCTTCTTGCATCTATTATTAATGCTAGACATCCTCTTATCTATTTGATAACTATCTCTAAATTGACCCAGTTTCAATTCTTGATGATTGATTGCTATTGTCCATTTTATGCAAAGGTTATCTCTAATATAAAAACTGAGTAATAGGAAACCTATTATATTATTTAAAAAAGTACTAAATTCATGTAAACCAACTAATTATCTCGAAGTATTTAGTAAATTAGGTTTACGATGATGTGTCTTATTTTTCCTTACGGGGTTTTGGGGTTTTGGGGAGATCGGAAGAGCACACGTCT